ATATTGCCATATGTAAGTTAGATAGTTTCCTGTTTACGTCCAATTTCCCTCCTATCCCCGGTTAGGCATTTTGAGCATATTTTTATTTTTATTTTTTGGTGTTTTAATTAGGGATTGTTATATTCGAGAGTTTCTGGGTGCAAAAAGTAAGGTTTACGGTACTCCTTCAAAATGTTGCTAGCTGGCTGGAACGCTCATCGCATACTGAATACTGATGAATAATTAAGATTAGTCGTGTGAGCAAAGGGTGTTGCTAGATTTACATAATAGTTGCTGTAAATACTTGTTTGAAAAATCGTTTTTTTTTTTTTTTCAGTTTTTGTCAATAGTTGGCAGTATAAAGACTGTTCTTGTAATTATTTGGGAGCGAAGGAAGTTGATCTTAATGTAACAATTATGATCGGATTTATCCAAAATAAATACTCCCTCCGTCCCATAATTATTGTCCACTTTATCCAGTTTATAAATCAAACTGAACTCTTGGAACATTTTTAATTTCCCACCTATTGGCAATAAATAGTTTTGGCAGACCTGTGTAAGATGATATTTAAAGAACGATGAGCTAATTACTCCCTTCATCATTTTGATATCTCGGAGTATTGTATATGCTCCCTTCCATTTTGAGTCTTCTTCAGCAATAGATGGAAGCACGTGGTGGATAACTTCATCCTAAGTTGTAACCTTCGCTTGGATGACAATATCGGATGTACTCCCTCCATTCACGTCGGAGCGCCGCTTGATGACAATACCTTTGCACATAGGAATCGGTTTTCTTTAGGTACAATAATTGATGCAAACATTCTAATTTCAAGAGATTAAAACACTACAAAAATAAAAAACATCCATAACATCATGTTCTAACCAATGTCAGAATGTCTAGCTCCTCCCGGCGATATTACTCGTAAAATACCGACCAATTACATCAAACAACACATAGTATCATCTTAGTCAATCACTTCTACCCTTTTTGTTGGGTTTAAGTAGTAATTAGGAGTTGAGTCTTAAAATTTTGGCACAAATTTCAATACTCGATGTGAATTTTTTTTTTATTATTATTTTTGAATAGAGACACAAACTTGTTACAGATCAAGAATTCAAAGCAGTGATAGCATTAGAATTACGCGATATTACTTGTTTAAAAGTCTCGATATTCAATTGGTATTTTATAATTTCTTACAACATACACCGTTCAGTTTTTCAGAATTTGATGTAATAGTTCGAACTTTTGAAGTAATTAACTTGCCTACTTTATCATAAAATATTTTTTAAAAAAAAATAATTTTTTTCATGCGTCATTCAATTATATTTTTTGAAAATCCATGTTTGCTTAATAATCTTGACTAATTGATATTCGAGTCAAGTAGATTTCTTTTCAAAAGGCAAAACTTGTTATACAAATTTGTTACCGCTGCATGTTTATTCTAAATTATGGATCCGAATCATAACTCCACTAATCCAACACATATTTAACACTTATAAACCCAATACTATTTTGTAGGCAAAAATAGTTATTATCTTTTAGATACCATACAATTATACTTAATAACTTTTGAAATGCTATTTACAAAGGCGAGTAAGGCAGCAAGCTAGTTGAGATCCTATTATTGATTTCAAGAAAAAGAAGAACCTCGTCTACCAATAAAGGTTCTAAAACAAAACTGTTGTAGGGTCAAAATACATGATCAGAAATACCAGTTATTAATTCGTGGGCACTATGAATTTTCATAATTTATATCATGTATAGTTATATCCATATCAAAATTTTAGAAGAATTTCATATCCGATTATGCGAATGACTTTCCACAATTTTTTTAGTCAAAAAAGATTCATTCTATAATGGTTATATCTATAAACATTTAATTTATTTTGAAAAAAGAACTACAACTCCTTTTTTGGGCACACGTTAAGGTATAATATAAAACGGTATATTACTATAAAACATTACAAGTGTACAACTGTATTAGTTGGATAAAATGGGTTTAGTTTCATTAGTTTGATTATAATTAAAACTCATTCGACTTTACATTGATTTTAAAAGTACGAATTAAACTGCTCTCGTTCAAGTATAGATCTAGACTATTTTGGTTGGCTCAAAACAAAATTATGAGAAATAAATAAGATAATTTAGTCTAAATTACATAAAATTAGTAAATTAAGTAATAAGAACCTAATTAATACTGAATTAAAATAAATACTCCCTCCGGTCCTTAATATAAGACAATTTGATTTTGTCCTAAGTTTCACCTAGTACGCATTTTTAATTGAAAAAAAAATCTTATAAAATTATTTTCACATTTGTTGTATTTTCTTGATTGTTATGAAACATTTTTAAAGTTTTTTTATCAATTAAAATACATTAAACTTAGGACAAATCAGAATGATTTATATTAAGGACTGGAGGGAATATATAATATTAATTTAGAGTTGGCCAGCAGGACAGTGTTCCCACCCTAAATCCGCCACGGTCGTCTTCCCATATGAGAAGCCGGAGTAGGCATATTTTAACTAGCCCAGTGCAAATATAATCCAAAATTCCGTTGGCAATAATGTGTTTCTTGAGCTTAGACTTAATTTAGATGATAGATCACCATTTAAAATTTTGTATTTTCTTTGTTCAAAATAATGGTTTATTTTTTTTATATAATTTTAGAACAAAATAAAACAATTATTTTAGAACAGAGACAATAATACTTTTCCATATGGATGAAAAATGGACTCTCTTCATATTGAAAGGTCCCTCATTAAGAATTACAAAGCTTTTAAAGCACATAAGAGTATTGCACTTCCTCCAGTCTTTATTATAAGACATTTTACCTTTTTTTAAATTTCACTTAATTAGTACACATTTTAAATTAATAAAAAAAATTTAAAAATATATTTTTACATTCGTTGTGTTCTCAAGATTGTTATGAAATATTTTTAAACTTTTTTCGTCGATTAAAAATGTGTACTAAGTTAAACATGAGACAAATCAAAATGCCTTATATTAAGGACCAGAGGGAGTACTTTCTTTACTTTTTTACTCTTTACAGTTTAGATTAATCATAGTCTTTACTAAAGATCACATGCAAAATAAAACGTTCTAGCTAATTGATTGATTCCGTGACAAAATCAGGAGATAAATGAGATGATGAGGATGGTAATTCATGCAGGATGAAGGATGAAGAAGGTGAATCAAAATTCAAAAAAGGGAGTGTTAAAACATGCTTCTCTTTTTATTTTTTCATCAAAAGTGAACGGTGAAGACTGCAAAGAAGTGAAATGTTAATTCAAACATGGGATTTACATGTGATTGGCTCGTGGTTTTTGTCACAAACTTTATGATGATAATAATAACTACTAATGATTATATAAGGTTAGAAACTGGTAACAAGATCATTAACATAGTGGCAATCACAGTAATGATTAAAATTTAAACCAGATCTCATGAGTTCACACTTGGCCGGTTAAGATATCCAGTTTAAGTTATACTTAGTGCTCATTATCGAGATGAAGAAATCGAGGATGATGATATGATGCCTGAGATAAATAAAGATTGTTTTCTTTTATTGGCACCAATACATTTTCAGTTATCACTTCAAATATTTCGAAATACTTTTGTGTATCACTTTTTTTTTTTTGACATTTATCTTGATGTTATTTTTTTTTTACTGTTAACTACATACTGAATCAAGCTTATATATCAATGAAATGTATAAATGACTGTTTGGTATTCTTACACTAAAATTTGTAAAACAGTGTAGCCTAACAGGCAACAGCCAGAAAGGGGGAAAAAAAAACACAATTCTGTATGTTTTACATTTATTTTGTTAATTTGAACAAACATGAATCCTTAAGTAAGCAATAACCAAAATTATATTCCATTAGTGTTTAAAAAAGAATTTTGAATATGTATTTCTATTTTAACATCTTATATTATATCCACTGAAAATTATTTTGAGACGGACGAAGAGTATATCGGTTCATACGTTACATGTATCTGGATGTATGATGTCATCCTGTCTAGGTGAGTGTGTAAAGCTGTAAAAATGAAGGGAATAATCTACATATAATCTGTTAATGTTGTCTACTTTTGTGATGAATGCTGATTAGTAGTAGGCCAGTCAGGAGAGTATAACTTGGGATGTAACATAACCAGCTTTTTTTTCCTTTTTGGGGTAGAGAAGGCAGTAACGGCATTCAGGTCTTATGATTGTATTTTGGTGTCTTCCTATGACTGACCAAGCCAGAGATGATTTGTTTGTTTCCCACCACATCCCTTTGTATCCCACCCCATAATATTAAAACTAAACGCTCCTTCCATTTCTATTACGGTTTTAAATAAGATCATCTGTGTCACTTTTGTATAAATATTTGCGTGATACATTTTTATCATCATTAAATATAAATTTGATTAAGCAATTCACAACAAAATAATAAGAGAATTCAATTCAAATATTCATCTATTCCGTATTGAAAAAAAAATAAAAATAAAACAGTAATGATAAACGCATCAATTTAATTTCTATTTGAATGTGCAATATTATAAAGATATACAAAATACTAATGTTATATTTTTTTTACAACGTTAAATACATTACTATAAAATAATGTAATAAAAAGCATTAGTAAGTGTATCAGATGGGAACTGGATTATTTCACTAAAAATATTAATTTATTATACCGTCCATAAGGATGACACTACAAAAAAAAAAAAAAAACAGAAGAAAATAATTTGTCCTCTACTATGATGAACTCATCTCATCTTCCTTCCCCATATAATAAACCTTAAAAGCTCTCTCTCCCCATTTCTTTCCTTCCTTGAACTAACTCTTTCTTCTCTTTGTCCAAGAAACTCATTAACTTAGATTTTTGTTTTATAAACATGTCTTGATGTGAAGAAATTCCAGCTTATCTTCAATCCCTTCTGGAATTTTTGTCCAGAATTTTTCTTTCTTTTCTTTTTTTTTTTTTTTTGGGGGGTTGTTTGGTTTACAAATCCATTAAATTAATATATTTGCATGGCTGAAGGTGGTAATATTAGCCAGGATATCAGCTTTGCTTGGGAGGATGAACCCTGGATGGCATTATCAAACTCGGACAACTCGGCCACCGGAAGCGATGAAAATCTTTCTCAGAAGATGAACACAACCAACTCCCCAACAGCACCGGCGGCGGAGGAACCCACGGCGGCGAACAAGGCGGCGGCAGGGATGCCTCCTCCTCCGCCACCTGCTCCCGGGAAAAGGAAGAGAAGGAATGGAAAGCAGGAGGCGGCGGCGGGTGGAGGCAAAAAAGGTGGCGAAACAGATCATGAGTTGCATATATATACTGAAAGGGAAAGGAGGAAGAGGATGAGAAACATGTTCTCCAGTCTTCTTGAACTACTTCCTCATCTTCCTCAAAAGGTTTTTCTTCTTTCTTTCTTTTTTTTTTTCAATTTCTTATTTTTCTGCTGATCATCAGAAGAAGTAAAGGGATGCGTATGGAAAACTTGTAGGAGGAAATTTGTTTTTGATTTCCACCCATTCCCATCTTCCCTTACTTTTTAAATTTGTTAATTAGGTAACAAGAAATCTTACTAACTATTAGTACTATTCAAGTTTCTTCTTTTTTTTGGTATATGGATAGGTTGGTTTTAGGGCTCCCAAGGGAGTTTGTGTGTTTTCTTTCTCATCACCATGATTGTTATCTTTTTTTGGTTCTTTCTCATTCGATTCTGTTGAACTAACCCGAACTATTTTTTTAGAACAGAAATAACTATATATCTTTTATAACCCAAAAAAAATAATTGTAAAAAGACAAAGAAGATTAGAGGCAGCTCTAGTGTTTTTTTGATAAAGGGCGTCTCTAGTGTGACATACATGTTTCAATTGTTGTTCATCTTCTTTGCTGTCTTTAATGGTTTGTTTGTAGTCCTTTTAAGATTCAATTCTTTTTCTTTTCTTTTTTTTGGGATATAGAGATTCAATTCTTTTTAATACTGTGCTTTGAATTTTGCTTCTTAATTTCAGATTTGTGACACTTTTTTGGAATTTTTTTATTTTTTATAAATGTTATGCAGGCAGACAAGTCCACCATTGTTGATGAAGGAGTGAACTACATCAAAACCCTGCAACAACAACTCCAGAAACTGCAGAGACAAAAGCTGGAGATGCTCCAAGGCCTAACCACAATGGCTAATTACCCTCCTCAAGCCCCGCCGTATCGATCTGCCGCCGCCATGGAAGCCATGGAAGCTTCTTCTTCAAGGGAAGCATTCTTAGCTAATCTGCAGGGTTCTTCTTCTTCAGCACTGACCCAAGATCAGGAAATGACGATGACTCCTCCATTCGGGATGGCTCGATATTCTACCGGTTTCAAGACCTGGGCTTCCCCAAATCTGGTCCTCAGCGTTTGCGGCGATAAGGCCCAAATCAACATTTGTTGCCCTAAAAAGCTTGGAGTTTTCAGTGCCATTTGCTATTTCTTGGAGAAGCATAAGCTCCAGGTTTTATCTGCTCATATTTCTAGTGATCAGTATCGCAGCATGTTCATGATTCAAGCCCATGTAAGAGTTCCTATCTCCTTCTTAGTTCTAATCGCCTTATTTTTATTTTATTTTTTTGCATCGATACAATCGCCTAATTAAACGCTCTCTCGCCTTTTTTGTGCATGCATCACTCTTTAATCACGTTAATCTCGGCTTTTCTTACACGTTTTGATCGGAGAGGAAATTAAGCATGATATTAGCTTTCTGTTGTGAATGAAAATTGAATTTAGATGATTACTATTTCAAAAACATTTCTCAACGGATAAATAACCAGCTTTGGTACAAGTAGACGAGAAATATTCGTACAAATTACTCGATTTTTATTAAGTACTCCTTCCGTCCCATAATTATTATCTAGTTTGGGTTTTCATTTTTAGTTCAAATTGTACTAAAAGTGAAATTTCAAACTAAACAATAATTTTGGGATAGAAGGAGTATTAATTTATTTCTACAAATATTATTTTCTCTGTTACGTAAGAAAAGTTATGTTTGTTGTACTGAAACAGATCGTGGATCTTTGATATCCTCACGTTGTTGATTTTCTGATGTGATAATTTTGTGAAAATGCAGGCAACTGCAGGTGTTGATCAATTGTCGGAGGGGGCGTTGTCGATTGAAGACATATTTCAACTTGCTACCGGAGAAATCATGCTGCATTTGTCTACCTTATAATACAAATGCTGAAGAAACAAGATCTCCCTTATAGATCTCTCATCTCTTTTTTTAGTCTTTTGTTTTTCTTTTTCAATCTATTTTGTAAAATTCTCTATCTGTTGTGATGCAAATTCAAACATTCTCGTGTAAATGCTATTTTATGATTGTTATATCATGCATCTCCGTTTAGCTATCCTCTAATTAATATTCCGTCCCTACCTAAAAAATAAATAATAAATAATTCATTTGAATTTGAGATTTGTATTAATCTCAGTATGGACCATTTTTCGGACAAAAGATATATATATATATATATATATATATCGAGAACTGAATTTTGGTATTGATTCTCTAGAGCCCTAGTGGTGTCGAGCGATGAGGCCTATTGCGACTAGGAGAACCATCGGCAGCTGTCAAACCATGTCTCTTGCGACTAGAAGAACCACTGGCAACTGTCAAACTATGGATGCAACATGATTTAGTTGGCAACAGTGACTAATCCACTCTTTCTAATTAATATTTCCGTCGTACCTAAAAAATAAATAAATAGTTCATATGAATTTTGATATTTGTATTAATCTCAATATGGACCATTTTTTCGGACGAAAAGATATATATCGAGAGCTGAATTTTGCTGGTAATTCCCTAGCAACCCTAGCAGCGTTGAGCAATGAGGCCTATTGCAATTAGAAGAACTATCGGCAGCTGTCAAACCATGTATATTGCGACTAGAAGAACCACTGGCAACTATCAAACTATGGATGTAACATGTCCATGGCAAGATTCGAAACCTCGACTTATGGTTAAAGGTGGAGAAGTTCTTACCACTGTATCACAATCTTTTTGGGTTTTTTTTTTAAAAAAAGAAAAAAAAAAAGAGTTTTCTTATAACAAGAAATGACATGGAAGATGTTAAGGGCTTGTATAGTGAGCCCACTTTAACCCAAACTTCGTTCTTTTGAATTTTATTTAAACCCAAATCCAAGTCAAGTTGTCATTAGGCTAACCTAGAGTTCTATAAACCCAAATTTAAATCTCGTCTCCCCATCTTCTATTATTATCCCCAGACCACCAACCGTAGCCGGATTTTTGGTTAACTCCCGACTAAGGTTGAATCGGTAGTGATAGTATATGTTAAATAAAGTTATAAGTATTCATTAATCAATAGTACAAAACTCAAAATTTAATGTAGACTACTTTTTTTTTTTTGGACGGATGTAGTTTTATATATGCAAACGAAAATTGTCAGAAGTGCCTAGCCACGAATCTGCTTTGCTCATTTAAGGTAAAGCCCATTGGTTCAGTCAATGTAAATTACAAAGCCCATAAGTTTGGGCTTCACAAATTCCACTTACAAGTTTAGGGGGATAGCATTTAATTATGGACCTTTTTCTAAGATTTGCTTTGTAGAAGTGTCTTAGGCCGTACGGACTAAGGAGGAGCATAAGTCAAAGGACTCATTAGAAGGCAGCAGCCTTTTTTACTACTACTACTATTATCATAAGGCTATACACAACCTGCCAGCTTCTTAAATGAAGCCAGAGCCTCAATTGAAATAGACCAAGAATTAATGTTCTGGTCAACCTTTGTAAGTGTTCCTCGCCATAAAAAAGTAGTAGAAAAGTTTATCCGGCTGGATCTAGATTATTCAGAACACTAAATTCAGACATGGGGAGTATTTTTCATAAAGAGAAAACACCCGGCTAATAATAGTGCATCAATTATTCTTTTGGGTCTATGACTCCCTCTGTTTCATGGTCAAACCAAATCATTTAGTACTATTATGAAAAAGTAGTATTAAGTTCACATGCCCATCGTCTTCACGCATTTGTAATAACCTGTAAATTCCAAGTCCTCTTTTTTGACCAAAATGGTTTTTTTTTTTTTTTGGCTATAATGTCACCTTCATTTCACTAGCAATTGTTTTGGGAAGTTGACATCTGAAAAAAGCTTTTGTAACCATTGCGTTTTTAAAGCCCCCCTTGAGTCCAAACTCTTCATTAATACCAGTCAATTCCATGCTATTAAATATCTCTCTAATCTAATGGGTACATTTCTAGAGCCACCTCTTTACCTATAGTGTATGGTACTATTTAATTTTAAGAGAAAGGAGATTACAAGGGTATGGCTGGAGTTGAGTCCTATATTGTGTGGTATCTTGGTAAGAGGTTTTGTTATGTACTTAGTGTTAGGTGAATCGAATTTGTCATAACGTGACAGTCTCTGATTAATGATTGTCTTAGATACGGATTAGTTTGTAAGTATAACTAGATGCTTGAGATGCATGGGCGTCCCCTTTACTTTAATTTTGTGTTAATAGATAAATGAATTCTTGATTTGGAAAAATAAAATAGCTACACATTTATTTTTTTTCTCTTTTTTAGCCAAAAATAAAAATAAACATAAAAATAAAAAAATCATCTGCAAAAAGAGAAAAAATATTATGATCATATAAAAGAATGTGGAGTAATAGAGGGGATAAGTTTATGGTCAAATTTAAATACTATCTTAATTTGATTGATAAATGATAAATGTTAGGAGTTAAAATTGTATAACTATTTTTGTAAAGTAGTTTTTGTTTCTCCGGATAAAAAGTTTTTTTTTCTTTTAAAAAGGGATGACACGTGGCAGAATGGTTAATGCAATATGGTGCATTTGGAGCCAACAAATTTTAATCAGAAGTCGCCACATCAACATCCTGTATTCTGCTTTAATAGGATAAAAAGGATTTGATAAATTTAATTAATACACTAGTCGTAACAAAAGTGACTTATTCATGAGTCACATTTACCATAGGCTATTAATAGATTAGATCTGGCATTTTTGTAGGGTGCTTAATTTGTATCCTAATCCAAGCCTTAAAGAAAAGGAAAAAGAATCAATTGGTCCATGTGTAAAAATGCATGAACATAAACGCACGAGATTGTGTTTCATGAAATTTGCCGTTTCATACTTGGTCAATTTTTTAGTACCGATGATAACGTGCAGATACGAATCATTTTATTCCTCAGCTAAAATGGTGTGTAAATACATTGATTCAAATTTCATCGTCACCTAAATTTGTGTGTGAATATTTATACAACCCCCCAAAAAAAAAAAAAAATGGTGCAGCTTTTCATATGTGCATCCGGAAATGAATCAAAACGAAATCGTATGGGTTCATGAATCATGTAATGAAGATGACAAAGACGATCCCCTGTCCCCGTGATGTGTGGAAGCTGATTTTTGTGCAGTTTAAACTCAATTCACCGATCAGATTGTACTATTTTATATCACCAGTACTTAACTGCAACTTGATTAACCTCATACCGTCCAAAACCAGCCAAAAGAAAACATTGACAAAACTTCCCCCAAAAAAAAAAAAAAAGGCAAAACAATGATAAGGCAAATAGGGCCATTAGGAGATGCTCTGGTCATTGTCATCCAATTCCTCCTGCCCATCTTGCTTCCTACCATATTATCACTTTGGGACAATTTCTTGAGTCTCCCTTTCTCAACTGACTCTTTCTAAAACGAACTTTCTCCAATATCCTAATGTACAACTTTAAACAACTCAGTGAAATCAAACGATACTCATTCTGCTCTATTCAGATTACTGGAATGGTGATTTCGCACTACAACTAACATTTCAAGCAATACTACTTGTTGGGAGAGATTTGACTCTCGAAAAAGATTTATTCGACTCGAATCCGAATTAGTCGAAACAACGACTTTAGACACCCGGAGTGTTATATATCTAAAAAAAATTAACAAATACAAATTGGACATTTTCTTGAGGAATAACAACATTTCAGCCAAAAATTCTTACATACAGAGGAATGGAAAAAAAAATTACATACACATCCTCTATGTACCCAATAATAACCTCATATTTCAAACATGCCCCGGGGTTTTCCCTTCTTTTTTTTTCGCCTTTTTCTTCTTTCCAGAATTTTACAATTTCTTTCCTAATAAACACTACTGCTACTACTACCAACTCTTTTTTTTTTTTTTTTTATGGCAAAAAATAGTACTACTAACAAGCATAATCGTTTTTAATCAAAACGGAACGACGTCGGTAGTACAAGCGAAATCGTCGGAATTTGCAATGGAGTCCCCAGGCCAGGAATCACGAAGCAATTTCAGCAGCATTTGGGCTTTTCTCTTGGCCCGATCCGTACAATCACTCTGAACCAGTAACAACAATTGGGTCAACACCCCGGCGGCCACCGCCTCACGCTGCGCGTGCTCGTACGCCGAGCAAAGCGACAGCAACGCCCCGGCGGCGTACTCGGTCGCCCGGTCCGATATCTTCAGTATGATCTTCACCAGGAGCGGCACCGTCAGCGCGTGCGACGCGAACGCGTGGCATCCCGACGTTATCCGGCAGAGGAGCTCCACCGTCGCCAGCGCCCTCTCCGCGTCGCACTTCTCGAAATCCGCCAGCCTGTCCACCAAGGCGTCAACGGCCCCGGCGGCCACCGCCCGGTGGCGGTGCTGCTTCACTAGGCACAAGGCGAACAGAGCCTTAACCCCAACCTTCAAGGCTCTGGGATAAGCCAACGGGAAATTGAGAATCCCGATGATACCTTCGAATATCCCGTCGGCATTGCTGAACTGTGATCGGAGCTCCGGTGATCTGGTTCCCGCCACAACCATCTCAATCAACGCCGCGGCGTTAACCCTCACATCAATCGAGGAATGGGAAAGCAGAGATACCAGATAACCGACCCGGTCGGAATCGGAAGCCACAAAAACGCACTGGGCTTCGGAGAGGGGAAACATGGCTAAAACGGCGAGCGCCTCGTGAATCAACTCATCGGAAATCGAACCGCCGCCGTTGCAGAACACAATCGGAACGAAAACCTCAGCCACGCTGGCAATAGAGGAAATCAAGGCGCGATTCTTGTCGGAATCACGAGCGAGTCCCCTGAGTCGCTTCAGAGCGGACAGCCTGGAATTCAAGTGATTGGAATTGGAAGAAGCCTGGTTGAGCAAAGACCGGACAACTCCCGGGTCGGCCGGCTGTTTGGGGGTCGGAATCCTCTCCACCCCAAACGACCGGTTCGCGACGCACCACTCCTGGATGAGCCGCCGGAGAGTGTGGTTGGGAATGAGGGTGAAGTCGGTGAGGGGGACCCGGGTGACCGGACAAGTAGTATTGCCGGTGGCAACCCAGGATTCTATGCTGGAACGGTCGTAAGTCTGACCAGTACAAACGGTGACAGGGTCTCGCATCAGCTCAAGCGAGATCGGACAACGGAAATGGTAAGGGATCTGTAACCCAGTATTATCCAATGGCTCTATAAATCTTCCCCGCATCCCTGATTGATGTTTAGTTCTTCGAGTTCAATCCAAATTTTTGGTGGGCTAGCTTGGGGAGTTTGAAATTTTGTTTATATGTGCTGAAGAGGAAGAAGAAGGAAGAAAGAAAAGGTGGGACAAAATTTGCAGAGGAAGGTGGTAAAAAAAAAGGACTAGTTAGACTCAAACAGGGGAACTGCAGATTCTCTTTTTGAGATGTTTTTTTCTGCTGTAAACTTACACAAAATGAAACAGAAAGACAAAAATGGCAGAGAGAGAGAGTGAGAGAAGGGGGGGGAGTTGGAGGATTGTGGTGGTTTTCTTTTCTTCTGGGATGAGGTGAGGTCCGTCCGGACTTCTTCTCTCTTTCAGGGTGTTCTGCTGTGTGAGTGTGTGTTTGTGGGTTTTATTCTGACTAATTTGCAGCAGTCCCCACACGTGTGATTTATTTATTCTTTATTTCTATTCTGTTTTCTACCATATATAGATACATATATATATATATATATTTGTACGTAAAAATTGAGTTAATTTAACCATGGGTTAAGAAGGTTGGGGGAGGATGAGGTTTTTGGTGGTGTCATTTGGTCAAAGAGACAGGGGAGACCAAAATGGTGGGGTAGGGAATTATGCTGAAATCTAACTCCTGTTTACATCAATGATCAAATAACGTTTGTTAATGGTCCAATTGTGTTTTTTTTTTTTCTTTCTTTTTTTTTTGGGGGGTAGCTTTTGTTATGAGTTTATCATGACCATAGTTGTTTTGTGGTGAAATTATGAATGATGATTTGATCTGTTATGGGCCAACTTTGTTTGCTTGTTTATTGCCTCCCCCCACCCTTTGCTTGTTGTTCACTAGTTTTGTGGTCCTTTTTAAAAAATTGATTTTACCCAAAATAACAAATTATGTGTTTGATTTCTTGATCAATTATTTCTAGTCAAATTGTTTTGGTTCAAAGAGCACGAGGGTCTTCTGGTTGATGATAATCCACTCTCATTTTTAATTGTACTACTAGTAGTTTATGAAAATACTAATATTCCGTAAGTGATAAGACGTCATCCATACAATTTTCAAGAATAACAGTCGGTCAAGAAAAACTTTGTCAAGTTCACGAGTTCATCGTGAAAATATAACGTAAAAGTTGTAACGATTTTTCGCGAAAGTCATGATGATATTGGTTGAGAAACGCCAGCATAGGGGTCCAAATCATGCCGAGAGATATAATTAAATTAATTACTGCAAAAAGCTTATAGGTTCTAAATTGTTGTATGTATTAAAAATTACAAAGACTCTAACTTCTTGTATTCCTTTTAGTTTGATATATAAAGAAGTGCAAGATTTTCTCATTTTGTTCAACTATGCACATTCTTTTGGTCCAACGAAAAGGACCGTGTAAATGTTTCCTTTGGTATATTAATTATTTTCTATCAGTTCTTAATGTCAGCATCTGCCCTAATTTCCCTTTTTGTGAGAATTTGAGAATATTTAGAAATAATGGAGGTAGTTGAATTTTCCGTTTCGGTTGGCAACGCTCTCAAGTCTCGAAAGTAGTAGTGTAATACTATAATATATAATTCATCCCAAGTTAGGTCTCCAGTATTAGAACCAATTATTAGTAGTCCTGTCTATTTTCTCAACTAAAATTCTACTAAGTATATATCCTTTTATTTGTAGTGTTATTATTGAAATACAATGGTTTTGTGCTTGCGCAACTCCCTTCGTCCAAAATTAGATCATGTGCAATTGTTAACTTCACGACTGACAATATGATCGGGTCGTGCAGCTGTTAACCTAATACCAACCAAATGGGAAAGTTCTTTTCAATGACATTAATTTGCAAGATAGCTGTTTGTAAATGTTGTAAGACATATATATATATATATATATATATATATGTAAGTACATGAAGAATCAATTTCGGAGTTATGGAAATGTTATGGTTTGAAGTTGATGTAGGAAAAGGGATTTGTGTACGAAAGCCACTGTGGATTTGTTGCCTTGCGATCTGATAATTTTGAGAAAATTATCAGCGTTATAATAATTAAGAAAATACAATGGAAATTGATAACGTAATATATGTATATCGGGAGATTAAAATTTCTGGCAATGTAACTGGATAATGATTTAGATTTGTAACTCCTTTTTTTTTTAGGGTTAGAAAAGAAATTAAGAACATTCAGTCAAAGCATGCAAAATTGCCTGAATTATATGGGACATGCCCTTTCAATTGGTTGGGTGGTCATAACGTATAAATGTGACACACGAGAACATGAATAAATATTTGTAGTCAAATCTATCGCTCAATTAATAATGAATGAGAAAGGATACAGACTTCAAAGACAGAGCAGCAACAGCAACAGCAACAGCAGAACCCCATAGTTAATTCGGTTCAAAAATCTTGTGGAATTGAACACCCGACGAATCATAAACCAAGCTTTTAGTAACTTTTTACTTGTTTCCATAAATAAATTTTACTACTTTTTTTTTTAAAAAAAATACATATATTTTAGCACAATTTTGAACTGCATTAAGGAGGTGGTCCTAAATTCTTTACAGCTATGTTTGGAAGCTTCCTGGTGAGGGCAACAAATGTAAGACACTCAGGTTCCATAAATGATCTACCCAGCCCGGCAGCTAGCAGGCGTGCCACTGTAAAAAATAAAAAATGAGAAAAAGAATTTTTTTTTTTTTTTTTTTGGGGGATGACTTTTGTCTGGTGGATGGCCAACTAAGAAGACTATGTACAATTTGGTGTTTTCCATTTGACATATTTCTTTCGCTCCAAAATAATTATTGATATTATTGTGAATTAAAAGAATTGTACATTTGAAATTTTTGATTCGAGAATTTTCTACATTCTTTTAAATTTGATGAATAAATTAATTTTGAAAGAAAGAATATGGAGGTGGTATCGAAATGAGAACGTGTCACAAAATAGGGTGAGGATTATAGTGGTAATTGTTATTTAGAATCAAATTATAGAAGTTATAAAAATGATAAGTCCAATATGTTCAAACCCAAACTCCAAAAAAATATAAATAAAATAAATAAATTAGATTAAAATAAAAACATTTCCTGACTCAAGGCTGACTGTTGCTTCGGGAGCCAGATGGAATTGGAGTTGGGTAACCAAACCTACGTCCGTGCGAGGGACTGAAGGCTTTGGTTTGGTCAATGGTCAAAGATGAACAGGAAAGAGCGATGTGCGGGTGCATTGTACTTCTCTCTGTCTCCATTCTCCGACCTTCCATAAAATTTGAATCTTTGGACGATTTGTAAACAACCCCCTAAATCATTTTCCAATTGCAAATATCTCCTTTATCTTTTTAACTGCAGTGATCTCAATTGTCAAACCTCGAATTTGTTCAAAATCTAGTCTACACAATTTCTCCCGATTGAATATATTTCATAAATTGATCAAAATATTTTTTTAAAAAAACACGTGTTAGAACAATATAGAGTGTCAATTTTCGCTAGTTGTTGTTACAATATTCGTATGAAGTTTTGTTAAAATAAGAGCGTACTCGAGTTTAAAGTAAAAGAAACATCTACTATACCAGAAATATCCATGAAATCGATTATTGTGAAATACTCTCTTTTTAGCTTCTTTTTTAGCTTTTAGGATCTGTTTCTTAGTTCAAGATCGCTCTAACTAATTGGAATCAAACAATTAGCAGACCTATTCCGCCCAAAATGGGAACTTTCATACACGTGAAGTTAAGAACGAGAAATGACAATAAAACACGTCAAGTATTAAAATTTTTGAATGTCAAGTCTTGAGGGGTATTCAAATTAATTCACAAAAATTCTCCCCAATGTCCATGCGGTTAGATTCACTCAGAACTCGGTAGATTGACTGGTAAAAAGTAATCCAATGGATAACGCCAACCAAAGACCAAGAAGAGGCTGGTGCTTGGTCCTACCATGGCTAGAAACGATGTTGATTAGTATGGGCCCACTGTTGTTTTGGTCATTTTGCGTCCTAAATTTTTTAAAAGAAGAAAAAAAATGAAAAACAACAGCCAAAAAAAGGGACCCCACAATTGAGCAAGTTTGGTTAAGTTAGATCTCAAAATTGTGGGAACAAAGAAATCCAATTGGAGCACAAAGAATCTTCTTTTATACATCACATGTTTTTGGGTTGGACATTGGCCCCCCCTTCTTCTTCCAGCGTTTGGCGTCTGTCTTCTTCCGCCTTTCCTTTTTAGTTTTTACTTTCCCCCCGTTTTTATTGTATCTAATAAACATAAAAATTCTTCTGTTTTAGTACATTTTTCATTGTACTATAAAAATTCACGGTGTTAAATCTACCTTTTAGTAGTGGTATAGACATATAAATATCCTCTATGTTGCCACATGACACAAACATTCTCAGAAAGTACTGTGTTCATGTTGTTCTTTATCAAATTCAGATGAAGTTTTCTTTTAGGGTAAAATCAATGTTTTACTATTGGACAGAAAACAAATGCAACGTTATAGAAATATGGTTGTGGATATGAGGAGAAATAGATTCAGACATGAATGGTATATTTGTTTCGTTTTTTTTGTGTTTTTAAGTATTTTTTGTATTGAAAATGTAAAAAGTTGTATTAGAAATGTAAAAAGATATGATGAGATGGGACAGTTATTATTTAAATATTTTGAAAATACCATAAAAAAAACCTAACAAACAAAGCAAGTTTTTACGATTTTATAACGTCTTCCTCTTTTATTTTTCTGGTCGGAAAGGTACAATTTGAAAGACATACATGAATACGACATTACGACTTCCTCCGTGCATGATTTGAAATACCATTGTCACACGCCTAGTTAACAAAGAAGATACGGTATAATGCGAGGAGAAAAAAAAATTTAGAAATATCACTTCTATGGCTAACGAATACAAAATAAATTAAGGTATTCCTAAAGTATGAGGCTAACGCAGTTTTCCTTTTATTGGTTGCTATCTACCTAAGTAAACCATCTAGGGTTCTAATAAACTCGCTTATCATCATTCATATCTTTGTATAGAAAGTGATGGAGTTTGAACTTTTACGAAGTAGCAGTGAAATGTGTAAAAACAACTAACAATATCACGAAAAAAATTATATATCTCGAATGATTACGAAGAACAGAAACACAGCCATACTCTTTTTCCCCCCTAATTCGGTGTGTACATTTGTATACACTATGTGTTCTTTCTTACTCGTAGAACTGGAGAACACTTAATTACACTCCACAATGTAGTTCTTAAGTGAAGAGTGAACTCCTTATTTAACAAAATATTAATTTAATATGTATATATATATATATGTTTAGTGGGAGCAATAATTTCAGGTAGTACTCCCTCCATTTCAAAATTTAAGTCTTTTTAGATTTGTCACGTAAACTAAGGAGACAATCATCTAACAATTAATTTATGTGTTAAATATTTTTTTTATCCCTCATTAATTACATTGAAACTATAAACAAGACTAAATAAAAATTATTAGCATCATTTATTGAGGGTAAATTTGGAAAAAAAAGTCATTAATTTGCCTAGAATTTGTAAAACAACTTACATTTTGAAAAATCTAT